TCTCAGGTAACCTCAGAAGAAGGTCCTTGAAACTCCAAAACAGTGCTTTTCAAACTGCTTGTTACAATCAGTCTGCTTGTCAATCTAGTAAGCTGATTTTATGAAGAGCATTAGAACAATCTATTTTTTTTTTTTGGAGAGATTTTTTGCTATAGGGCGCATACGCTCGCCAGACAGACAGAGAGAGACAGAGAGACAGAAAGCAGAAATCACCCCCCAGGGGGGATGGTCACGCCGCAATCCCTTCTCCTCCATTCTCCTCTCAGGATCTTGGGCACGCACGCACACGCGCCCGGCGTGAGTTTTAAGCCACCAGGTCCGGGACGAGAACCACGGTCGACTATGTGGGAGTCCAGCTACATAGCCATTACGCTAACTGCTGGTTCCCTAGAACAATCTTTTTAAAAAGGAATAGTACAGAAAATCAGAGTGCCTAATATCTAATTTCTGTTTCATTTGCTAATTCTTTAAGTATCTGAGTATCTATGTGGCAGGGAGTGTTACAGAAGGTGAGGACTGAAAAAAAAATGTACAAAACAGAAGAAAAAATGTACAAAACAGAAGAAAACAATTTCAGATAAGTATGAATTGAGGCAATTTAAAAAGTTTATTTCTTCCAGTAGTGGAGTTTTGTTGCTGTTTTTTTGTTTGTTTGTTTTCTAACTGTCCTAGAGCTCTGTAGTAATTTGAAAACCACCATCTCATAAGTACAATTGTCCCAAAAGTGCTTACAATAACTGCAGCTACAAGAATAAAAATGATGCTGTATTTGATGTTACAAAGCTTCCACAAGATATAAAGTTAACTGAATTCAAAGCAATTTTTATATTTTATATTAAGGGCATTCCCAAGGCCCAGAAAGTTCCTAGGCATCAATTTCTTTCCATATGCATAGTATTGATGTAGGAGGGAACGAATAATAGTTTTCTGGGGGCCCATGAGAAAATGTGAAAACCAAAATAATCTCAGAGGGTAGAGGGGAGAAAAAAGGTAATTGTTTAATGTTAGGGTAGAGGCTATATTAATAGTTTCTTCTGACTACCATGCTAATTAAGTATGACAGTAAATTAGATTGGTAGCCAAGAGAAACTGGAAAATAAAAACTATCTTCCAGAACAAGTCAATGCCTCTACAAAATATTTAAGGAAGAAAAATGGAACAACTGAGGCTGCATTTTTTTGGTTCCTATATTAAGGTAAAGTTTTATCTGCAACATGATTCAGAAAGCACTGCTTAATCTTAAGAAGCAGAAAGGCTTCCAACATGGTCACCTATTCTGACTTCAGAAGTGCTGTAATTATTGCTGTTTTGTACTTTACAAAAATAAAATAAAAACCAAAAAACAATGTATGTGAAATAGGCAAAGAGTATGAGTAAAGAACTTTTAAAAATTTTACTTCTGAGGAAGATAAAATCTGGTGAAATCTAATGACAAAAAAAAACTCAATGACAATTTGAGGCAAAAATACAGGAAGATTAAGAACACACTGGATTTCAACAACAAGCAGATTATGTCACAACATGTTCACTAAGTATTCAGTTAAATTAATGTCAAGGTGTCAAAGAAACAAATGCACTTTGAGATTCTGAAGGAAAAAACAATGTTATGATTGGACAAAAGGGGAAAAAGAAAAACACTAATAGCTGCCCCATTCTACAAGGTAGGCATCAGGTCTTGGAAAATACCAGAAAACAATGCAGTGTGTTCTCCTCCCTCTCTTCCCTGTCATTCACAGAACATAGGTTTCCAGGTGACTTAGCCATCTATGCTTCCTATTCATCCTTATGGGAAAGTAAGAGATAGAAAAACAAGAAAATCCAGGCTGCTCCAGCCTGTTATCCTAATATAATTTTTCTGGCGCATTATCCAAACACAATTAAATCAAGTTTGCACTCATGTTTACTACATTCAAGGGTCCCAGTACAACATTCCTTTTTTATCTGTTCACCAACAATCAATTGCCTTAACAGGCAGTATATACTGTGTAATTGACCAATAGCAGATTAATTTTCTAAATGAAAAAAAAGGGGGGGGGGGAGTTAAGTAGATGCCTAAAGGAAGGAGGGGAGAGAGTGAATATAGAAAAGGAACACTAGAAATACCAAAACAGCAGCTGCTTCATAGTTTTGCTTTATTAAAGGACATCTTCAATATACCCAGACAAGTATTAACAGCAATAGACAGAACTGTACAGGCATCTACCCTAGTGGGAATACCACTTTTCAGGGGAATGATGCAATGCAACCTGGCATGGCTCACAAGATGTAACAATATTTTAACACACTGGGCTTTATTAGAAAGAAGATCCCATCCCAGGACATTCTCCAGTCAATGCATTATAATTACACAGCTTAACCAAGATTGGTAGTAATACTGAAAACCAAAAACAATACAAATGCAATTGTAATAAAATCTTAATGACAAGCAGTCCCCTAAAGAAACACAGCCCAAGAAGAACAGTTAATAAATATCATATTCTGACATCATACCTTTTAAAAATAAACATATTTTTATCTTATATGAACACATTATATCAAATGCCATGTCATTTCATATGGTTTTAGAAAGAAACATCAAGAAAACATAAATGGTCACAAGTAAATGTTTAATGCCAAAAGCATAAGCACAATTATCTGATAAATATTTAACAAGGTCCTGTCATTTACAAGAATATTCTATTTTAAGCACCTACAAAATACTTACAAATATAGAAAATAAAGGTTTAAACATAACTTTAAAACACGAAATCTACATTGTAAGATGCCTTATAAGGAATTAAAAACCTAATATAAAAAAAAAAGACAATCAGTTAAATGAACTGGAGTATATCTACTGAAATTTAAAAGTTTTGCTATGATGTTAAGTTTAAATTTACTGAATATCTCAGTAACTAAAGAATATTTTAGTTTCTTATGGGGAGGGTGGTTTCATTTTGTTTGTGCTTAAGGCTCCCTTCTCTATCTCTTCCATCCCTCAGAATTTTGGGCACACACACACATGCATCCAGTGTTTCTCAAGCCACCTGGTATGGGACTCAAAGCACACTATTGGCCACATATAAGACCGCTGCCTTAACCACCAGGCCTCGGAACAGGCCCAAAACAGGATTTTTAAATGTTCCTAATACAAAGTAATCACAAATAGTTAAGATGATGAGTATTCTAATTAACCAGATTTAAACACACACTGTACTTATACTGAAAATCACATTGTATCCCCCCCCAAATATATACAATTATGTTAATTAGAAAATGATAATCTAAAAGCAAAAAATATTTAATTACAAAACTACATAGTGTGTTGTATAAGCATTAAAAAGGTAGGAAGAAGGACCAGCAGTTAGCGTAATGGCTATGGCACTGGACTCCCATGTAGTCAACTGCAGTTCAAGTTCCGGAACCTGGTGGCTTAAACTCGCCAGGCGTGTGTGCTCAAGATCCCGAGAGGAGAATGGAGAAGGGATTGCAGCATGGCCATCCTCCCTGGGGGGGTGGGTGCCTTCTTACTTTCTGTATCTCTGTCTCTCTCTTTCTGGTGAGCACATGTGCCCTATAGCAAAAACCTTTCAAAAAAAAAAAAAAAAAGAAAAAAATAGGTAGAATATCCTCCCAAAATGCTATAGGAATTGTATCTTACCAGGATTACAGATTTTTTTGTATTAATTTTTCTATTTTCTTTTAAGAATTATTTTATCTAACTTTATTTATTTATTTTAGTTTGACCAAAGAGAGAAAGAGAGAGAGGGAAAGCAAGTCATCGAGTCTGTGATGTGACCCACAGTCAACCACGTGGGAGTCCAGCGCCCTTAACCACCATGCCACCTGCTGGCCCCAAATTTTCTAGTTTTTTGATAATTAACACACTTTCTCTCTACAATTAGAAAGTTTGTAGTACAACTGAAATTCACTTTTGAGATAGTTTTCTTAAAAACTATATATTACCAGGACCGGCAGGTGGCACTGTGGTTAAAGGGACTGGACTCTCACACCGCAGTCCACGATTCAAGTCCTGGACCTGGTGGCTTGCTTTCTCACTTTCTCTCTCTCTCTTTTTTTCTCTTATCAAACTTGAAAATAATAATAATAAATAAAGCTAAATAAAATAATTCTTTAAAAAATTATTTTATTAAAAAAACTATTTATTACAATTAGGTTAAGATAAATATTTAGAATTAAATATGGCATTACACACAGCACAGTTTTTCTATGTTCTTGGCAATTATAAGTTTCTCTCTTAAGTGCATGTAAGAAAGAGAGTTCCATTAAAAGACTACATTTTGGGGAATCAGCAGTTAGCATAATAGCTATGTCGCTGGACTCCCACGTAGTTGACCGCGGTTCGAGTCCTGGACCTGGTGGCTTAAAACTCACGCCGGGCGCCTGTGCATCCGTGCCCAAGATCCCGAGAGGAGAATGGAGGAGAAGGGATTGCAGCGTGACCATCCCCCCTGGGGGGTGATTTCTCGCTTTCTGTCTCTATGTCTCTCTCTGTCTGTCTGGCGAGCGCACGCGCTCTATAGCAAAAAAAAAAACAAAAACCTCTCCAGAAAAAAAAAAAAGACTACATTTTGGTTTACACTGAACTAGTATCATCTTCAAATGTAAGATTATTTCTTGAAGGAATTTATTCTCTTAACTGTAATACTGACATTTATGTTTAAAGGAAATCCATTTGTATCATCTATCCACTCTGTTTTAGCCAACTATATTTATTATCAGCTCAAAGAAGAAAATATAAAAGAAAAACTATAATTCATCACCAAACATTAAAACCTGAGTGGAAGGGACAATAGGAAACATTTACCCATCTTTTATAACTAAATAAAATCATTCAACAGCTGACAGTATCCTTATAATTTCAGGAGATAAGAATATACCTCCTAATTATTGCCAATTTAAACTTAAATTTATCTAGCCTGGAGGTTCTGAAACACTGGCACTTGGGAGCTACCCAGGAAGTGTGTCAAATACAGAAACTCATAGCATTAGCTCATACTTACTGAATCAAAATCTCCAATCCAGCCCTTTCAAGTAAGATAGTAGGATGGAGATTTTACTTAACAAAACCTTTCTCTGTAGAACTGCAAACTGTCCTAGTAACTCTGGAACAAAGTTCTCCATGTAAACAATGTGAAAATCAGAGAATTACAATTTTATAACCCTACCCATTAATTTATCCAATTCTTCTACTACTCGGTAGTAGTCCCTAAACAAGAACATTATTTCAACAAAGCCACACTGGCAGTGCACAGTAAAACCTAGAGGCACCTGTGCCTGGCAAGACAAAGGCATATCCGATTCCTGGAGAAAATAGACAGCAGATGTGACCCCTAGTATTTATCCATTAAAAACAATGTACCCTAAAAATAAATTTCCATGTAAACGGAACAAAGATGTTTATAAACAAGGAGGAATGTGGAGGTGTGAGGAAGACCAGAGGAAGCGTCAGTAAATTAAGTACCAAAGTCAGGAAACAAGACAGAATGAATGGTAACTGGGGACAAGGAAGATGGAATAAACTAGGAAAAGGAATTAGGGAAGAGCTTTATCCTTAGAATCCAAGAAGTTGGGGAAAATAAACAAGTATTAGAGGAAACTGATTTGAACAGAAATGCAAACTGGAGAGTGGAATGCCTTTAAGAAACTTTTTTTAAAATGAGAAATTTAGAATAGATCAAATGATAAACACATTTTGGGGGATAGATAGAAATGGTATATAAGAGTGGAAAGGAAATATTATTATGAACAAACTTAGACTGAATAAAGCAAGCACACCGAATGAATTTCCGAAGATGAGGGAGCAGAGAATAGAGAAATGCATAGAGAAAAGAGTGAGGCATTCTAAGAATTGGAAAACAAGACGTATATAGCAGGAAAGAAAAAAGAAATTGGAGAAAAGTCAAAAGAATATGTCCTATTAATAATTGCGAAGCACCATTATTGTATCAAATATGATCTTATTATTTGTAAAGCACAACAGTGTATTATTGCATGTAATATCAAACATTAAATGTAATAAATTTTATATAACGAAAACCAAAATGTAAACAAAGTAATTTGACAAGTTGATAAAAGGCTGAATAATGCATAAAACATACCGAGAGAAGTAAAGACTAAAGAAAGGGAAAAGTGATAGGAAAGAGAAATAGGACAAAAAAGGAGGACGACACAGCGAAATCAATCAAACCTATTTTTAAAATGGGGAAGAGTAAAAAGGTGTTTATGTACAAAAGACTAGCCAAAAAGTGCCAGTAGCGCAAGGGCGAAAGGAGCCAAGCGAAACCTGATGGAATCTTGACAGCTTCAGGGTTCAGAAAGTGAGCAGCTCCAAAGTGTCCAGAAGGATTTGCGGAGATAACAATAGATAACGATGTCAGGAGACCGCGGAACGAAGATGAGGGCCTACGAGGACTAGGGTAAGACAAGTGTCAAAATGCTCTTCAGGAGCAGCTCTGGTTGGAAGGCAGAAAGTTCCGAAAACGAGAAAACGAGCAGGGCGGCAGCCGAGCCTGGAGGGGGTTACCGGCCAGCGACAGCGCGCTGACGACCAAGAGCAACGCCGGACCCGGAGACCGGGATGCGAAAGGCAGCCGTAACAGTACGCGCAGCAGGGCGGAAAAAGTACAGACTAAATCAAATCCATCCGCTGGACCAAAGGGGTGAACAGAAACCCCAATTAGGTAGAAAAGTGTGAGGGGGGAGGGGGCGGCAGCCAGGAGAGCAGAGGGAATGACGCCCCATCGCCCCGATGCCGGCGTAATAATTACACGCGACAGCACCTCGGGCTAGGGTCCCGGCCCCGGCCACTAAGCCTCCACGCTCCACCGCGACGCCGCCGCCATCCGCCACCCCCACTCCACCCTACTCCCAAATAACGAAGACCTCTCGGAGATGAGGGCTGGAACCCTCCGCCAGTCGTGACCTTCTCGGACCAGCCCAGAGTTTCGCCCCCTACTGATAGCCTCCCGCTCAACCCCGGCTGCCCCAATCCCCACCTCCGGGTGGGGGCCGGGGGACCCCGCGGGCCATTGTGTTTACGTAGTGAGCAGTGCGTGACCGACAGGGACCCGGGGGCCATGCCCACCTCCCGCCCCGCGGAGCCCACCGGAGAAGGTGGCTGAGCGCGCCCGAGCCCCCGCCGCCGCCTCTTCCCCCCAAATAAACACCAGCCCGCCGAGCCGGGAGACAGGAGGGGCGGCAGGGGGGGGCCGGCCCTCACCTCCTCCCGGAAGGCAGGGGGC